TAAGGATTAAGGAAATAGCGGCGGTGCAGGTACGTCACGATACGACGTACCGTTACGCGCGGCATTTCTCTCGGGGAAAGGGGAAAAGGGGGGCGGTAAATGAGAATGTCACGAGTCCCGCGAGAAGGTGTGTCTTGCAAAAGACCGGCGCGGTGCGAGAGCTTCCGTTGATTTACGAACCTGCATGCTGTTTCCATGAATAAAACTTCCAGAAGAAGAGTTCGCCCGCAAGCAACCCGACGTTTCGACAGGAGATCTCCGTAGAGAAGTTAATTTTCCCATGTGATCGAGGACTAGTTAGATTAATAAGTTATCGGTCAGACTGCCGTCGTCGCGATGACGCTTCGTGAAGTTGAAGCGAAGTATGTATAGCTATGTTACGTCGCTCCTTTTGGATCGATATTACGTCACGGAAGCGTTACGTGAAACGGAAAACTGAAATCCCTGAAGGGACGTTAGCCATGCACCATTCTTACGCACAATGGTATTTTTACACGCGGATCCCTCATTCTCGTGCGAAAATAAGTCGATGGGAATTATTGAGATTAATGTGATATGAATGTAATTAATTACGAGACATGTATCCGACACTTTTTATCATACGAAATGCAAGACGGTCACAACTAGGAGAGTGTCAACTGCTACTACCTCTGTTAAATAGATAGCACAGGTAGCTGTTAGTATATTTATTTTTTCACATCGCAGATCTCCCTAGTTCAGTGCCTCTACTATATATATATATATATATATATATATATATATATATATCTCGAGTAAATAATTGACATCCGGTAGATTAGTTTCATCGGGTAAATCGAGTATAAATTTATTACACACTCACGATTCTATGGCGTGCAAAGTGTAGTATTGTTCGAAACAAAACATTTTTTCACATAAAAAATTTTCTCCGTTGAAGATACGCCGAAATCTGAGTTTCACTTCGTTTCAATTCGTTGTTAAGACACCGCGTTGCCTATACTAAGGATACTTTGTGTAGGAAGAGTCAAACGGATTTTTTTTAACATTGAATATTTAAGAATAATAGTTTAAACAACTCAATATAGGAGGAACAATTTCGCTGAGTTATCTAAAAATTTGGCTAGATTTGAAAATTATTTTATTGAGCCAAAAATTAAAATAATTATGTAAAACATTCAAATTGATTGCTAGATTATTCAAAATTTTTGCGATACGATCACATCACAGTTAAGCGTCTTACATAATTATTTTGATGCTCAACAAAATTGTTTTCAAGTCTGAATCTGGCCAAATTTTTCAGTAAAAATTGTTCCCAACAAAGTCTAAATATAACATTTATAAATATTCTCTCGCATGTTCATTTTTGCTCTCTCTCGAAATGTCTTTCGAACTATTCAAGATGAGATCGTTGAATCTGACACGCGAATCTAAACGCGCGTTTGCGGAAGTAAAAAGCCATCGTTGAAACGCGTCGTGTAAAGGTAAATAAATTTCGCATTATTTAAAGGAGGAACGGATCTCTCTGACGATTTTGGCTCGAGTCTTAATTTCGTACGTTAATTTTTTTTAGCGACACGTGCGTTTTGTATATACGTAAAGAGATACCAACATACGCATCTCCTTTCGCACGCTTTGCCATCGAGTACTTAAAATCGGCGGGCGACATTTCACCAAAATGAAGGCACAGGTTGAATTCTTAATAAATCCTAGTCAACGCTCCTTTTCCACTTTTTTAGACTCTAATAAAGGACGAGCGACGAGTGTGTCACTGCCATCGTTGTTACGCGTTGCCGCTGTATCCAGGCTGTTTACGTTTATAATTATACTATTTATTATAGTTGCGTTTACGCGTTTACACGGAAAGAACACTTTTTTGCTAGCAAATCTAAAAATTTGACGAGAATACAGCTCTGAAAATAATTTTGTTGGCCCATCAAAATTATTTTGTAGAACACTTAAATTTATGATGATAACACTGCAAAAAATGTTGGATCTTCTAACTTCTTCAATTTGAACATCGTATATATAATAATTTTGAAGGGCCCAACAAAATTGTTTTCAGATCTGTATCTAGCCAAAGTTTTAGATTCGCCGGCAAAAGTGTTCTTCCCGTGTAAGCTTGTTGGAAGTTTATTGTGTATTGTTGGGACCGCGGAAGTTTTCACGGGACGAGCCTCTCTCGGCTGGACCAGATGCTGCTTCATGATTTGTGCTTCAATTGTTCTCGCGGTCGTTAACGCTCGATTTCGGTTTTTTTTTTTTTTTTTTTTTTTTTTATTATCCAGGAGAATTGGTATACGCATATAGGACCAAACAGACGAATAATTCCATTTCACCAAAGTAGATTTAACTTTGATCTCGGCGCAATTTATCTTTTATCTTTTTCTAATTTATACAACAAAAATTATTCTATTAGCTAAAAAAAAAAATGATTACTTTCCAGTTTACTTTTCTCAGGTTACTTTTAAAATAATGATTATTATTTTTATAAAGAATATTTTCTCGATAATAATCTTAAAGTATACTTATCACAAATTCTAGGAAAAAGAATTTATTATATTTTTTTTTTTCTTGAAGAATATCATAGATTTTATCGAAGAATAGTTAGATTTGATTAAGTAAATCGATTTTTAATTTAATTTCATATTTAAGTTAATTACACTTGTTAGGATTCAGAATTTTGAATAAACTTGATGCTTATGATGACTTACGATAGACTGATGACTTGCGGATATGAACTTTCCAAATAAAACTTGAAACAAGTAATTTACTTAAATACACCATATATTTGTGTGTGTGTGTGTGTGTGTGTGTGTGTGTGTGTGCGTGCGCGCGCGCGTGTGCGTGTGTGTGTGTGCGCGCGCGCGCGCGCGCGTGTGTGTGTGTGTAGAATTATATAAAGGCAGAAAGGGAATTTAGCCGAGATCAAAATTAATCTATATCGGTGGAAATGGAAAGATAAAACGGCTTACCATTGAAACCTCGTGAGAGATATCGCAGCCGCGTCCTATCGCATGTTACATCGATGACGCCCGCGACGAACGCTACGAGCGTACCACGTGCCGTCGACGAGATTTCCCGATGACGTAATCGCGTCCTCTCGCAATGTATAAATGTGCATGTATGTCGCCGACGCGCCATGTCGAAAGACAGAAATTTCTGGGCGGCGCGATGTATTTCTATATGTCTGTATATGCATTTTCCCCGCGTCCCGCCCCAAATCGCTCTACTTCTTGTTATGTTGTGCGTACAGTTAGGATTGCCATATTAAAATTTTCAAAACTTCAGGAACTTACAAGCCCCAAAAAACCCCGAAATGTTTCGGTTGCAATCCCGGACGTATACAAAAATGCTCTTAAATCAATAAAATTGATTGGACCGGTAAATGGAATCGTTATTTCACGTCTAATTGTTCATTAGCATTCAGAGCGAAGAGAGATTCGAAAGTGAATAAATACAGACTATTTTGATTCAAAATAAGTTTTATTATGGGTTTAGTTTAAGTTTTATTAAGTATTAAAATTAAAAAATTTTATGTGATACCTGTGCTATTTGGTAATTGCGGAGTAATGCGAGAGGAGTAATCCAAATAAAATATTTAGCAGTTTTCCTGAAACCCCGGACGCTTCCAAAAAATCCCCCCCCCCCGGACGTCCTAAAAAAGAGGACAGCGTCCGGGGAAAAGAGGATGGCAACCCTATGTGTACATTAATACCGCTACAACTATCTCTAGCTATTTAGATTATTATTGTTATTACTATTACGGTTATATAATTATCAATATTATTTTATTATATTCTG